AAATTTGGTCAAGTTTTTGTTAAGTTATTCTTGTTTAAAGTTATAAAAAAAATTTATTATAAAAAATTTGCTTGATTCACCCCCATATTTTTATTACCACTTACTACGGTAGATAGTACTTCAACTCTCAATAGGTCTACCTTTATTGCGTGATGCAACATGATGCAACAGGGCTTCTTGAAGAGACATTCGCTACGAAACTACTTTACTAGTAAAGTATTGCATCGATAATAATCTTTTTTTTAAGTTTGCTTAGACCCGAAAATTCTGGTTTTACAATATTACGCTATATAAATACTTGTGTAACGTCGATCCCAGAAGTTATTTCAACTTGATAATCAACGTTTTTTTTTTGACTACAGTAATTTTTTTAGGCTTTTTTTTCTTTAGGTGACAGTTAATGGATTAATCTCGCCATAGTTGGAGCTGACATCGTTGAAGTCGTCGTAGGTGCCGTGTTACCGTTATAGGTGGGTTGCCTTTGAGTGGATGCCGTCTTTTAATTGTCTTCTGGTTTCGCTGGTGTTTTTTTCTTGTCGCATCTCTACTTTCCACTTTTCATTCCATAGTCGTCGTTGGTTTCAGTTTCGTGCCGCTGCTGTGGTAGGTGTCGCATTATTTGTGTTGTCTTGGGGTGGATTTCGTTGTTCTAGAGTCGCTGGTGTTTTTTTTTCTTTGCTGTTGCATGTCTAACCTCCACTTTTCTTTCTATAATCGTTGGTTTCAGTTTCGTGCCGTTCGTTTTGGTGCCGTAATTATGGTGGGTATTTGTTGCCTTTGGAGTGGATTTCGTCGCTTGATTTGCTTCTAGTGTCGCTGGTGTTTTTATTTGTTACAAATTTATCTTTCCCACTTCTTTCTGTAGTCGTCATTTCGTGCGTCGTTATAAGTGTGTGCTGCCGTATGTTGCGTTTGTGTGTGGCCATTTCGTCGTAATTGGAGGTGTCGTTGCTCTTAGGGTTAGGGTGAGTTAGTTGGTAGAGTTAAGGTAAGTTAATGGTTAGGGCTAGGGTAAGTTGACTAGGTTAGTTAGTAGTTATTTCGAATATGTACTGTATGATCGTTACGCGACGATTCAATATGTTAAGCGCAACAGTTTCGAATCTGTATTATTTTTTCTTTATTTGATTAACAATAAAATTTATATAAATTTATAAAAAGCTATTACAGTATTGTTATGTAATTCTTATATCGTGACTAGGGGTGCACCGGTGCAGGTGCACCAAATTTTAAAACCCTTTTTTTTTTTTTTTTTCTTTTTTCTTTTTTTTTTTTTTTTTTTTGTGCACAAATGCTGTCTTTAGTTTATCATATATGTATTTTTGTTTGTTTTTTTTTTTCGAAAATAAGAATTTATTTCTTAGGTTTATTCATCATGGGATTAACAGCACACATCCAAATACGTGTTTTGTAGATTTTGAATAGGTCGCGGACCAATTCACGAAAATCAATACGGCGCTCAGCAATAAAGTAAAAAGTAAGTTTGCGTCGATCCCTAAATTATAAATTTATTAATATAAATATAATGATAATGGATTTATGCGAATAATAAACATACCATTGGTATTCGGCATCAACAACTTCCATTGGCAGTTTCTTTTGACGAACTTTAGTCTGACAAACTAGCATAGCCTTTGCTTCATCTTGGCTCTTTGTAACAAGCATTGTAACTTCTGCAGGCTGTGCTAATCGATAGATACGTTTTGGATGAATTTCTTTATTCATACGATGACCATCATTAATGGAATCTGCTTGTTGCTGTTGCAATAACTGAACTTGATGAGGCATAATTGAATCATTTGTTACTTTTCCTAAATCTTTGCCTCGATCCGCCTCAACAATAACGAGATCACCTTTCTTAACCATGTTTCCACTATTCTCGGCAACGTAAAATAAGTCAGTACGGCCTGCTTTAAATTCAACAAGAAATAGAGGACCATGTGTAGGAACAGCATGAAGTGGAAGACCCTTTCCAAGTTCATTCCACGCTCGCGTATGATGTTCGTCGTTATCAAAATAATCATCAATGTCTTCTGGAATGCTAGCATACCCAGTATCATGAGTATATGTTGCCTGCTGTACATTACTTAAATGGAGAGATTCCAATGCATCATTTATATTATTCATATTATATCGAGACGGCTGGTTGTTTGAGAAAGAGATCGCAGGTCCTGCAACTGAATGTCGTCTTTGCACAAGATGTGCATATGCTGGATCAATTGTTGTACTATTAAATTACAGGAAAACGACGACATAATAATAATAAATTAATATAATGGTCAAAAGTAATATAATAAATAATAATAAATATATTTATCCTTACCGATGATTTAGCATTCGTAAGTCCTGATTTCCATCCATATATTGGTATTCATGTGCATATGTTGGTGCCTGTGAAAGAGAGAAGCGACGTTGCCTCATTTTTTCTAAGCGTTCACGCTCAGTAGGTAAACCAGCCATAACTGCTAGGTAAGAAGATGGCGGTTGTCTTGGTGTGTTCAAATCCCACATGGTTCCATAATCAGATGTACCAGGAACAGAACGTCGATGATGAAGAATAGGACCATCACTCTGAGAACTCTGATTGTTCCAAATTGAACCAGATTCTGAGTACTGTTCAGAGTCTCGTCGATAACCACTCATTTCATCTCCATGCGGAAGATCATGGTGGCCAGAAATAACACCATATGCGGCAGCGGAGGATTTTGATCTTGTACGGAATTTCATATTAAATTGTGAAAAATCATCGGTTTCCTCTTCCATAACTGGGAGTGAATGTCGATATGCAAAACGCAAGCCTCCCTCACTATCACGACGAGATGTTGAAGCAGGAGCATAACAACTAAACAAATCAGTATCATGTTGTCCAACCGAAAAAGAAAGGCTTCGATGTTGACGATACTGTGGATTTGGAGGAACAGGAACAGGTAATTTTCCAGTGATACCTGGAGGAGAGCTTATTTCCCTTTCATATGAAGAACTGCTATTAACATCTTCATTATTTACAGTAGGAGGAGGAGTAGGAGATGTATGAGGAACTTGTTTTGATCCAGGGCCAGATGGCTGATTTTTTTCATTCCAAATAGATGAACCGGTCCATTGTAGCCCCCCTAAAGCATTCCATTTACCGCCGTTGGCAGAATCTCCATTTCCATTTGGAATACCCTGCTGGATTTTTTGTGGTGGTGAATTAGACGAGACTAATCGAGAGGTTAGATCAGCTCCACCATTTAAATATCTTTGTGGTGTGCTCGAATTACTAGATGGACGTCGTAATTTATGTTCTTGATTGTCTTCATCTGATTTTTTTGCATAAACTTGATATTCATCTGAACTTTGCGGAACATTTCGGATCACATTAGTAGGCGGACTTCCAACAACTTTCCAGCTTTGATTGTACGGCACGGAGTTTGCCGATGCCGTGGGGGAGTTTGATGCTGGTGATGGACTATTCTTACCGCTACGGGAATCGCCGTTGGCACTAGACTTATTAGTTGCTGATGCAGGGCTAGCAGATCTAGCAGAGGTGGGTTTGGGCTTTGAGAATAAAAAGAAAAGGTGAATGTTATTAAAACTTGTTAAGACATTATGTTATTAGCATTAAGGTAGATCTATCTCTTATCATATCATAAATTGTTCGTAACAAAGGTAATGCGTAAGAAATTTTTATTTTTGCTCCGTTTTTTCTTTTTTTTTATTATTTCGTTTTTTTTTTAGTACTTACAATCTTCCAAGCGTTTGGGACAGGCTTTGTCTCATGCTAAGATTAGTTGGATAACATATAAAGTGCAATATTAGCTATATATTGTGTTTGAATAAATTTTTATCTTAAATTCGTGAAACCATACCTCCATTATGGATATAACCTATTCAAAGCGGAGTTTGGTTAAGGGAAAATGCATAATTTTGTTGTTAGTATATAAATCTTGTATCTGAGCGATCGTCCGCCATAAATATTCTGAACGATTGAAAGTTTGTCTATTCTTACCTTTACAGAAATACTCTGTTGCTTACACAAATAAATACTATCGTACAAGTTTTTTTAAAAAAAATAATACAGGGATGTGCAAGAATCTGTGCACACTAGACAGTAAATATATTCTACCCGCAAAAAGAAAAAAAAAAAACTAAAGACGAAAAAAATTATTATATTTATGCTAACACAAGGGCGAATCTTATTCTTTGCTTTTATGGGATTTATGTGCGTGGTAAATGTACAACTAAGGTCTATTAACAGTCTAACGAACAGGTTCTAATATTTCTTTGGACCACGAGAGCCAGGGGAATATGTGCTATGCGAGTTTCTACACCCAGGTCCAGAAAAGGTATTTACAAAAGGGGTGGGGAAGAAACAGAGTTTCCGTAGAGTTTTCGAGGAATGTTTACAAGGAAAGGAACTGAAAGAAGGATTAGGAGAGGAGAACAACCTGTAACAATGTCGTAAATGAAGAAGTAAGGATCAAGCCCAACAAATTAAGATCGTTTTTGGAAGAAAGGGGAAAGAATAATTAATTATAGAAGAATTGGGTGACTTATTTTGTGTGCAAGTCGCACGAAACTAACTAAAAGCCCAACACATTAAACGTAACCGCAGAAAGTAACATACACATTACCTGAATTAATTATTATAATTATAATGCTCTATAAAATTTGGTATATATGACTCCAGACTTTTGATTCATCCAGCCGATTGAAAAAAAAAAAATAACCCAAGATACTAAGATGCACAATATAAATATCAAAATTGACCCCGGATAGAACTTGGGTAAGTTTACACGCAAAAATGTATAAATTTTCATTATAAATCAGTATTTATATACGGATTGGTATATAATTACGGGTGTATTGCTGTGAGAAAAAAAAAAAATTTGAGCAACACACAACGAGCCAATTATAGCATTGTGTAGTAACAGTGTTCTGTTTACCGGCCACGATTTTACAAACTAGGGATTTTATCACATTAAAACCTTTCTCTTTTATATGGCAAAATTCGTCATAATACATGATTGGTATTTTTTTGCAAAAAAATTTCTTAAGTCGGTATAAGCTCGAAAGAATAAATGCGCGAAGCTATTTCTTTTATCAGTTAGTATGTGATAACTGTGAAGTTCAAACATCTAGTTGTGATTACTATAATAAATAAATATATGATATTGATATTTTTATAGATAGGCATATAGAATTATAAAATTATGTTATATAAAAAATTAGCTATTTTGAACTAATTTATGATTATTTAGGATTAGAGTAAAGATTAAAGTTTTAAATTATCTCAAAATAGTAGTTTTTAAATACAGTCGTACCTCTATATAATTACCTCCTCTATCTAATTACATCATATAAAAACCTCTTTTTATCACATTCTGTACTCAAGAACAAATTACTATTAAACTTATGAAAAACTATCTCTATATAAGCACAATTCTTTTATAAACATTTTTTTAAAAGTTCTTAAGTAAAAAAAATATGTAATTATATAGAAGATTGACTGTATATATTATAATTTTATATTGTATATTTATACAGTGCAAGATAGCAAGAAACATCTATTAATAAAACTTTAAAGTGTTAAACTTTTTTATATAAAACAGGCTAATCAAAAAACCCTCTGACAAATTGATAGATTTTTAGATAGATATATTTCTGTTAGAGGATTTTTTTTTATTCTTTGTTTTAAAAAAGTTATAAATTCATTTAATATAAAAAAAAAAAAGTATATGAAAGTAAGTTAATAGAAAAAAAACAAATTTTTTTTAAGTAAAGTTTTTTAATTTTAAGCTTAAATAACTAAACAATTATCTTATTAAATTAAAAAAAAAAAATCTTAATTTTATAATTTCAAAATTAAAAAGATTTTTGGAAAATTTGATTAATTGATAGTTTAATTATAATTGGCACTGTTTTTATAGTAAAAATTAGAGCAAATTTTATAAAAGTTTTATAATACAGTAGAGTAAAATCTGGCATTAGCTCAAAGCAAAGTTTTTTTTTTACTAAATTAGCCTTTCTTCAAGCTTTAACAAAAGTTGTAGAGCTTATTTTTGCAGTTCAAATAATGGCAAAATCATCAAAATTGGCTTTGTAAAGCTTCTGAATAATTTATAATAAGCTTATATTTGGTTATTATAGTAATTTTTTTTTTTGTTAACATTTTTATATTGATATATATAATCTATATTTCAAATATTAAATATAAATTTTAGTCTTTGTTATCTTTTTTAAAACAGAAGTGTGTTCTCTAAAAAAAAAAAAAACAAGAGTATGCTTACTAAAATAAAAAAAAAAAAACAGAATTTACTTTATATTTTCTATTAGTATATTTTAAATATAAGATTTATAATACTTATTCTATTAACATAATTTTAAATATATTCTATTTAGTGATTATCTGTTTTCAAATATAATTTTTTTATCCAATACCTACTTTTCAAATATAACCTTTTTTTAAAAAAAGACCCATATTAGCAATTTTTCAAATATAACCTTATATAAAATTATTAGAGGTTCTGCCTTGTAGTTCTTAAGATATTGTAACTTTTTTTCTTTGTATATATAAAACTTCTTTACAATATATATATAAAGAAAAAGAATTACAATATCTCAAAAACCACAAGGACAATTTTGATAATCTTGCTACTATTAGAACTGCAAAAATTAGCTCTACAACTTTTGTTAGAGCTTAAAAAAAGATTAACTTAGTAAAAAAAAACATTGTTTTAGGCTAATACTAGATTCTATTTTAGTAGGGCGAAAAGGGGAGTTCTGGGTCACTTTTTTCACATCTCTATATGACATATTGTTAAAAACCACTTTAATCGTCATCCTGCTATATTTTATAGCACTTTTATATACTTTAGCT